GTTCCCCCGGGGCCCCCTGGCGCCCTGGCGCCGGTCGGTCTGTCGCTCATGTCCCTGAGCTTTCTGGGCGGCTCTGCAGACTTTGGGGGCCTGCTCTGGTTGCTTCTTCCCCCCCAAGCAAATTTTTTAAAGAGGTGTCCAAGGGGGGGGGGGGCGGGAGGGATGCTCCAGGACATCAAGACTTGCGAAACTGCACCCAGTACAAAATGCTGTTGGATGACTGAAATTGGAGGAATGCACGGGCATTCACACCCCGCCTGCTTCGGTGCGTGGGGAGGGCCTCGGGCCGTGGGGCTACCCCAAGGGTTCTGTGCTCCTCCAGACCCTTCGAGAAGCCTCTCTCGAGGAACCTGGTCGGCTGCTGACACGAGCCCTGCCCCCGGGGAGCTAAAAACTCCACCAGGCAATTGTCCCTGCCAGATGGGTAGAGTGAGGTGTAGGCTCATTAAGGCATTGGCCCCGGGTCAGCCGCGAGGGAGGGAGCGAGGTAATGAGTCACTCCCAGCCGAGAAGGCGGCGAGCCGCGGAGGGACCTCCCCTTCGTCACCCGCTTTGTCAGCGCTCGCTAGAAGTTGGGAAACTGGAGCCTGGAGCCACGGTCTGAGACCTTCCAGCGCAGGCAGCCACGCGGGGCCGTGGGCCCGGAGCCGGGACCCAGCCGAGCCGGCTGTGGACCGGAGTCTGCCGCCGCCCGGTTTAAAGGCCCCCAAGTCTCTTAGCGGGGTGCCCCGGCCGCTCCCTTTCCAGTTCCCCTTCAGCCACAACTGTGCACTGATTTAATGGTTGCTTTGTGTTTACACGACACCTCTAGGTGTGTGGTCTGTTTCCTATAATTAAACACTAAATACGCTGAGGGCAAGGACTGTGCCTCCCAAGCGTTCTTTAAGTAGGTCCCTTGCTTTGCCCACAGGCCTTGATCCAAAGAAGCGCTTAATTTGCGTGCCTGCCTGACCCATTCATCCACTCAAGGGTGCATCCCGGTCCTTCCTCGTCCCAACACCACGTGTTGCCAAGGCTGGAAGGCCTCCTCTCCTCCCTGCCTCCACTCTGCCCCCTACAGTCCATCCTCCATCTGACCTGGATCTCCTTACTCCTCTGCTTAACCTCACCAAATGTGTCCCCATCACACTCAGAATAAAACCCAAATTCTTAACCACTGCCACAAGCTCCTGTGTAAAGTGGCTCCTGCCTCCCCTTCCTCACCGTGATTCTGTACTGGCCTTCTCTCCTCCCCTGCAGCACCCCAAACTTCCTTCCAGAGGTTCCCTTCCTTGTTCCCCAGCTCTGATGACCATCTTTTCAGCACTCAGGTCTCAGCTCAAATGTCACCTTCTCAAAGACCACTTTCATAATCCCCTTAACCAAAGCAGGTCACTCTCTATTTCCTTAACCCTGGGTTAGAAATTTTCTTGTTTACCACTTTGTTGACTGTTTATTATCTGCGCCACCCACATTGGAGTTTAAGCTCCATAAGGGCCCGACCCATGTGGTTCAGTTGGTTGGAGCATTCTCCCTTGCACCAGAAAGTTGTGGGTTTGATTCCTGGTCTGGGCACATACAGGAGGCAACAATGTTTTCTCTCTCTCTCTCTCTCTCTCTCTCTCTCTCTCTCTCTCTCCCTCTCCCCCCCCCCCCCCCTTCCTCCCTCTCTCAAAAAACTCCGTAAGACACAGGCCTTGTCTGGCTTGTTCATTCAGAGCCTGGACCAGGGCCTGGCACATATATAGATGCTCAGCAAATGTTTGTTGAATGAATGACCAAACTTATCAGAGCTAGGGGTACGGATGAAAGAGGATGCTGAAGAATCCTGGAATGAGCTGAACCCTGGAAGGGCCCTGTCCTTCATCTCTTCAGATCACTCCAACTATGCGCAGCCAGATATGGGCAGATAAGAATGGAGTTGGGGGAAATAGAGCCTTGGCCAACATTAATGCCACCCTCATTCTGCTTCTGGTCTGATGAACACACAGCACCAGATGATTCCTCAATCACTCCACTTGCTGTTCCTCGTTTTCCCTTCTCCATTCCCTTCATGGCCACGAGTCTCAGTCCTGGGTCTCTTCTTCAAATGCACACTCGTCATTCCTTCAGTCTCAAGGCATTTAAATACCATCATTACCATGCGTGAGGAAGGACTTCAGACCTAAAGCTCTAGCCAATAGTTTTCTCCTGAGCTTCACTCTTATCCAACAGCATCTCCATGTGGCTCTCTCCTACGCATCCCAAACTCAGCATTCCAGGAGTGAATTCATATATATATATATAAATTTTATTATTGATTTCAGAGAGGAAGGGAGGGGGGAGAGAGATAGAAACATCGATGATGAAAGAGAATCACTGATAGGCTGTCTCATGCCCACCCCCAACTGGGGATCAAGCCCACAGCCCCGGCATGACCGGGAATCCAATCGTGACCTCCTGGTTCATAGGTCCACGCTCATCCACTGAGCCACACCGGCAGGGCCAGGAGTGAATTCTTGATCTCCCCTACAGATATGCTCCACCATGGTCTTCCTCAGCTTTGTTATTAGAAACTCTATCCTTAAAATTGCTCAGGCTACATTCCCTTCTGTCTTTTTCTCAAACTCCACCTCCAATTCATCTGCAAATCCTGGTTTGCCTGTAAAATATTTGGTATCTGACCATTTCCCATCACCTCCATTGTGGCCACTCTGGTCCAATTCACTACAGTCTCCACTTGGCTCCCATCTGGTATATTCTCAACGTAGCTGCCAACACTGGTATTGATACAGCTAAATCAAGTCCTGTTCCCACCTCTGCATATGACTCTCTGATTTCCACTCATTGAAAGGAGAAACTGGAGTCCCATACATT